CCCTTCACTAGATGTGTGGCCTTTGGGCAAGTCATTTTAACAGGTGAAGATTAAATGACATAATGAATGTGAAAATGTCTAGCACAGAAGCCGGCACATTGTGTGTTCTAGGTAAATGGGGAAGACCAGGCCACGAGGAGTACAGATGTCCCGAGAAGCCCTCAAAAGCTGACCCCTAACTCCAGAGAGCCACCTGGATCTTCCAGCCTCTCTACTTTGCATTCAACCCTTCTGGCAAATACATCCTGCCTCTATCCCCACCATTCATGCTCCTTTATAAATCCTTGGGCTTTAGAGTCAGAAGAACTGAGTTATAATCCTGGCTCCACCACTTACCACTTGTGTGACCTTGGACAAGTGACTTCTTCCTCTTTGAGGCTCAGTGTGCTTATCTATAAAATATCAATAATTGCCCAGCTGGTGTGGCTCAGTGGTTGAGCGTCGATCTGAGAACCAGGAGATCATGGTTCGATTCCCAGTCAGGGCACATCCCCGGGTTGCAGGCTCAGTCCCCAGTAGGGGGCGTGCAGGAGGCAGCTGATTGATGATTCTCTCTCATCATTGATGCTTCTGTCTCTCTCCCTCTCCCTTCCCCTCTGAGATCAATAAAAAGATATCTTAAAAAATATACCAATAATGGCACCTATTCCATAGGATTGCTGTGAGGATTAGAAAATAGTATGCGTGTAAATGTTTAGCAACTGCTCAAGCATTTAGTAAAGGCTCAGAAAATATTAACGATTTTTCCTGAATAATAATAACAGTCATAGCTGCCTACTGATTAGAGTCCAAACTCCTTGATTCAGTATTGAGAGCCTTGCACCTTGTAGCCCTATTGCTCCTTCCTGGCCTCTCCTCCCTCCTGCTATTTCCCTATGTGGATGTCACGCTCAGTCCAGACGTGGCTTTCCTACCTCTGTGCCTCTGTCCATGATCTTCCTCTCCATTAAGAATGCTCTCCCGCCCTGGCTGGTTTGGCTCACTGGATAGAGCATCGGCCTGGGGACTTAAGGGTCCCAGGTTCGATTCCGGTCAAGGGCATGTGCCTTGATTGCAGGCACATCCCCAGTTGGGGGTGTGCAGGAGGCAGCTGATTGATGTTTCCCTCTCATCGATGTTTCTAACTCTCTATCCCTCTCCCTTCCTCTCTGTAGAGAATCAGTACAAGTATATATAAAAAAAAGAATGCTCTCCCAAACCTCACACCTGTCCACACTCTGTCCTGCTCGAGTCTCACCTTTCGAGTAAGCCCATAGCCTCCTCTATTGTCCTGAGTTTCCACTCTGTCTGCACTTGTCTTACCTAGAGTATCCCTCTTCCAGTGGTCACATGTGACTTCTCTTTGCAGGAATTGACCTTCCTCTACTACCAGTCCACATGTTCCAGGGATTAATTAAGCGGTGGACACCAGACCAAAACTGAGCCAATAAGAATCAGCTCCGGAACTTTCACTGGAACCATTGAGTAACAGGTGTTCTTTTTCAACAGGCATTGCTAAGCTATAGCAATGCAGTTTCAGAGCTGTTAGTAGCTGTATTTAACACCTTTAGGAGAGAAGCAGACTTGCCCTGGCTGTTTTGGCTCCATGAATAGAGCGCCGGCCTGTGGACTGAAGGATCCCAGGTTCAATTCTGGTCAAGGGCACATACCTGGGTTGTGGGCTCAACCCCCATGGGGCGGGGGGGGTGCAGGAGGCAGCCAATCAATGATTCTCTTTCATCATTGATGTTTCTATCTTTCCCTCTCCATCTCTCTCTGAAATCAATAAAAATATATATTTTTAAACATGTTAAAGAGAGAAGCAAGCTTAAAAATAAGCCAATACAGAGGAACAAAGAAATGGAGAGAGACATATTTTAATGGCATTATTTGATCATCTACATCCATCCATGCCTGAAACCAGATACTCTTGACTTTTAAGTTATGTGAATCAAAAACACTACCCTCTTTATTACTTAAAATTTTTAAAAATTGCCGAAACCGGTTTGGCTTGGTGGATAGAGCGTCGGCCTGCGGACTGAAGGGTCCCGGGTTCGATTCCAGTCAAGGGCATGTACCTTGGTTGTGGGCATATCCCCAATAGGAGATGTGCAGGAGGCAGCTGATCGATGTTTCTCTCTCATCGATGTTTCTAACTCTCTATCTCTCTCCCTTCCTCTCTGTAAAAAATCAATAAAATATATTTTAAAAAATTTTTTTTAATTATTTTATTTTTAGAGAGGAAGGAAGGGAGAGAAAGAAACATCTATGTGAGAGATTGAACCTGCAACCTAGGCATGTGCCCTGACCAAGAATCGAACTTTCAACCTTCTGGTGCACAGGATGATGCTACAAACAACTGAGCCACACTGGTCAGGGATACTCTATATTATTTTTATTTATTTAAGCCAGTTTGAGTTGGGTTTCTGTCACTTGCTAGTGAAAGACCGCTGACCAATATAGTGATCTAACTAGATGATAACTTGAGAGCAGGAACTGCATTTTATAGCCTTATAAAATGCTCTCAAATCCTTGGGGACAAGGATGATCTTAGTGTCACAGCACATAGCATAAGGATGATCACAAAGCAGGTAAGGAATAAACTCAGAAATCTCTAAGCAAAATGGAATCAACTGCTCAACTCTGATAACGGCCCTCAGGGATGGGACAGTAGCACAAGAGAAAGAGCATTGGGCTAGGAGTCAATACTAATTTACTCACTTACTGGCTGTGTGACTTTGGGTAAAACCATAATTTCCCTAGGCTCAGTCTCTTCTCTCTAAAATGGGGGCAGGAGGCCTAGCCTGTGTGGCTCAATGGTTGAGAGTAGATCTATGAACCAGGAAGTCACAGTTCGATTCCTGATCAAGGCACATGCCCAGGTTTCGGGCTCGATCTCCATTGTGGGGCATGCAGCAGGCAGCAGATCACTTATTCTCTCTCATCACTGGTGTCTCTCTCACTCTCTCCCTTCCTTTCTGAAATCAATAAAAATATGTTTAAAAATTAAAAAAAAAATAAATGGGGGGCAGGGAAAGGTGGTCTTTGAAGGAGCTGATCTCTAAGATCCCTGAAACTCTATAATTACATAGAGGTTGTGGAACAGTTCACCCAGTCCCCCAGAGTAAACCCACTTGGATTACAGAGAATTAAGAGGCCAAGAGGTCAGCAACCCATCTGCAAACTCCAAATTAAGGTTGAGGAATTGGGGGATCCAACTGAGCATATATTCTTTCCAATTTGCCTTTGGAAGAAGAATAGAATTTAAATACATAAAATCATGTTCTGGGTACCACTGAGATATATGGAGAGATATGTCCCATATCCTAACAATTCCCCTTTCCTACCTGCTTAAAAAAAAATCTAAGTTGAATGGAGTGAAAAAGCCCAGAGGATGTCCACATCTGAATAAGCACTGACTTGTTCAAAGTAGTTCTTTTGGGAGTTTGGGCAATTCTTCCAGTGGCACAGTACCTCTTGCCTGCATCTGTAGAAGTCCCCTTGGAAAGCAAACCAGCCTCAAGATTTTGCCCTCACTCCTTGGCTTTCATCCCAAGTGACAACTGTCAATTTGATCACCCATCCTATTGTCCACACTTGTCCCTGAGTGACTTCCAGCCATTTCCAAAAATCATATTCCTCCTTTAAAAGATGGGAGTTTCCCCTCTCAATGTTGACCTTCAAGAGAATACATCCCATGCACCCAAGATAATTCCCTACAACGTTTTCAGCAGTGGAAAAATTGACAAGTGAGAACGCACTTCCTCCAGGGGACTCTTTTGAAGGGGCCCACACTTGTTGAATGCTAGCCCTGGCTGGGTAGCTCAGTTGGTTAGAGTGTCATCCTGAGATGCCCAGGTTGCAGGTTTGATCTTCAGTCGGGGCACACATAAGAAGCAACCAATGAATGCATGAAAATAAGTGAAAGAACAAATTGATGTTTCTCTCTCAAATCAATCAATAATAATTTTAAAAAAACAACAACACTTGTTAAATGCTCTGAGGTGCTTATTTTGAAAAACTATCTCTGTTGCAAGATCATCATATTTTCCCTTCTCCCTCTCACCCTGGAGGGCTCCTGATTTTTTCCTAGCCTTCATCAGCCCTCCTCCCCCATCTTCTGGCCCCACTTTTCCTAACCCAACTCTCTTCCCTGCCTGCAATTAGGCAAATGCCCAAGTTGCTGAATCTTCAAAATCCGTCTTCGATCGAAAGGCGGGCAGGCGTGGGGGACTCTAATGGATCCTGAAAAACTGTCTCAGCAATTTTTATTCCCAAAGGCCCTTCTCCGATTCTTAGGGTAAGATGTCTGTCTTAGCCAAACATTTCAGAGGGTCCTAGGAATTCATTCCCATTTGGGCACAGCACCAGAACCCTCCTCCCTGCATTGAGTGAGAGTGGGGAATGGAGATCAGTCCTCCAGGGACCCATGTTGCCAGGTGCTGCCAACCACCCACACTTCAAACACTGAATAGACACTATGGGCAGCCTCCTCCTATATCTTAGCACAGCACTTTAAAGTTTACAAGGTACTCATTTGTTCTTGGAATCCTCTCCACTGTCTTACAGATGAGAAAACTGAACCCCAGAGAAGTAAAGTGAAAAATCCAAGTTTATGATGTCAAGAAGTTACAGGTCTAAGTCAGATCTCTTGAGTCACCATCTCAAGTTTTTTTTCAATACAACAAACATCGTTCACACCTAGAGTCACTCCTCATTCTGGTCATTATTTCCCCTAAAACAGCCAACAGAGTGTCTCAGGGGCTCTCAGAGACTCTACCATAACTCTAACCCACCCATAAACGCAGTCCGCCCATATCCAACCCCTCAGCCCCAAAGACCCATTTCTAAGGCGTCTCTCTCATAGAATTCTCCCCTCACGGCTGAGGGACAACCGAAGGTGTGCTTTTAGACGGAGGAGCAGAATCTGTCTCTGATTCCTCTAAGAAAGGGTGCTAGAAGGAGGGAGCCGCTTCCCCCAGCTCCTGCTCTAGGGGGTCCCGCCCCCGCCCCTCCCCTACCTGCCAAGAGCTGCATCCAGGCACAGATCTTGTAGACCGTGGCGGTGTTGCAGAAGAAGAACAGCGAAAAGCAGGTAATGCAGCCGAGGATCAGCACCATGGAGAGCAGCACGAAGAAGGCGGCCGCCTTGAAGGCGCCGGACGGGATGGTGCTGAAGTCAGTGAACGAGCCGCGGCAGGTGAGCTCGCGGCCCGTCAGCCCGCTGCCCACACAGTAGTGGAAGAGGCCGAAGTAGCCGGGCTTGGGGGTGCTCACGCTGTCGCCCACCCAGTAGGGCTGGATGAAGACCACCACGTTGATGATGGCGAAGCAGATGGTGAAGATGGCCCATAGCACGCCGATGGCCCGCGAATTCCGCATGTAGTGCTCGTGATAGAGCTTGGAGGCCTCCTGCGAGGGCAGCATGGTGC